CCTCTATTTTATGGCAAATATTTTGAAGACAAGAATTTGCTATCCTTTTATTATTTGTCCCAGTGTCTAGGACAGTTTTTGGTGCATAGTAGATGCTCAATAAGTAGTTGTTGAGTAAGTGAATAAGTGGATAAAACTTTTCTTTGTTAGCTGGATGTGGGAGCACATACCTATAATCCCAGCTAGTTGGTTAAATTCAAGGCCAGTCTCTCTCTTTATTTCTTTCTTTCTTTAAGGTGGGGAGAGAAAATTTTTTAATATTTATTTTTTAGTTTTCGGTGGACACAACATCTTTATTTTATTTTTATGTGGTGCTGAGGATTGAACCCAGCGCCCCGCACATGCCAGGTGAGCGTGCTACCGCTTGAGCCACATCCCCAGCCCCAGCAAGATGCAGTTTCTAAATATAAAATTAGAAAAGCTGGGGATGTAGCTCAGTGATAGAGCACTCCTGAGTTCAGTCCCCAGTACTGCAAAACAAAAACAAAACAAAACATTTCTCTTTCCTTTGTTATCCTCTCTCATACCAATACTCACCTTCCTCATGGGAGTTTAATTAGCTAATAATAGACAATTCCTTCACTTAGCTCAGGAATAGAATTTTAATTATATATTAGCTTTGAAAATGATGCAATCAACTTTTTGAGATAAATAGAAAACATTGCAAAACTAAAAGAAGGATAAATTTCAACCATTTTCGCTTTTTTTTTGTTTTTTTTGTAGTGCTAGGGATCAAACCCTGGGCCTCCCGCATGCCACACAAATGCTCTACCACTGAACCCCATTTCCAGGCCCCTAGAAGAAACACATTTTAGCCTACAAAGATAAGTAGCTTTATGATGTAAAGCCTTATAAAAGTCAGATGACTACTGCATCTGACAGTAGTCATCTGACTTTTATAAGGTGGCCTGTTTCTTTCGTTAATTTATAATGAGCACCTTTCTGTGATGTTGCCCTTCCTGCTCAAGAACTATAAAGAATGCCTGCTCATGATTCCTGACTGCTATCACCCAGGAAGCACTGTCTCCTGTACGTGGGAGAGTGACAGTGTGGCTTGCTGACCTTTTGTACATTTCATGGGAAAACCTCTTGCTGGTCAGTAGTATTATTTTTTTGTGTGAATTTTATTATATGTAAATTATATCTCACTGAAAGCAATTTGCCTAGACATTCTTTTTGAGAGTCTTTGACCTGAAACTCAAGAGATACACATTCAAACATAGATGAAATAACATTTTTCTCTGCACATTAAAAATATAATTACAGTGATTTGATCTACATATTGAGTTTATCCAGACTTGCATTGTCCAGAATGGTAACCGTCAGTCACTTGGGTTTGTTCAAATGTAAATTAACAATAAAATAATAAAAGTTCTTCAATGGTATCAACTAATGTCAAGTGTTCAGGGCCCGCTACAGGAAGTTCTTTTGGACAGCCTTCATCTAAAATTTCTCATAAGGAAAGTGCTTTCTTTTTCAGGGCAAAATGAACTAAGATATCAATTTTCTGTTCTGTCCATCCCTACACCAGATCCGGTGAGAGTATTTAGAAGTAGCATGAAAGTGTGGTGGTGGAAATTTACACCTTTGAGCTCTTCATAAGTTTACAGAGACAAATGTGGTTCTTCTAGAGGGTTCTTGGTTCAAACAGGGTAGTTAGAGTAGGAAGGAACTATTGCCGTCTAGCGGTCTGTGTAGGTCTCTGGAGTTGTGATCTGATTAAATATCAAGGAATCTGCATGGAGGCAGATGGAAGGGCAGATGTTAACTGATGTTTGCCTCAAACATCAGCCCTTGCTGTCTGTGAGTCTCAATTTTGTGACTTTATAGATAGGATTATTATTGTTATTATTATTTGGTATCAGGGATTGAACTCAGGGGCACTTAACCACTGAGCCACATCCCCAGCCTGTTTTGGTATTTTATTTACAGATAGGGTCTCACTGAATTGCTTAGGGCCTTGATAAGTTGCTGAGGCTGGCTTTGAACTCGTGATCCTCCTGCCTCAGCCTTCTGAGCCAGTGGGATTACAGGTGTGCGCCACCTTACCCGGCTTGATGATGATGATGATGATTGGGAAAGCCTATGAAACATTAGTATGTAATTGGGAAAAATTTGATTTAAACCTTTTGTATGTTTTACTTCCATCCATTGCAGCTTTTGAAGTCACAGGAAATGAGGGGCTCTCCTCAAGGATCTTCTCTTTGCTATGATGTGAAGTTGTCCCTGGGAAGGCCGGCATTTCTTGCGAGGCATTTTTCAAGCCGAGGGGTGTTTTCCACTTCTGTATGTGGTCTTGCTTTAATGTGCGGTTTCAGAGGTCTCAGTTCGTAGAAGGCCAGCTCCATGGCTTTTTGTCTGAGGTGAGACAGAGCATTATGGCAGAAGGGTGTGGCCGAGAAAAGCAACTCAGGACATGGCACCACAAAGCAGAGAGAGAGAGCTGGTCAGATTATTTTTAAGAAGGCTGTGAGTTTCATAGCAGACTCCTGGGCTGGGGAACTGATTTGTAAACCAGCTAATTTACAGAATCTAAGGTGGAAATATTATTTTCTCATCCCATATTCAGCCTAGTAAAAGTCTTAGGGAATAAAAGCTTTTTGATAAGACAACCCTGGGTTTAAGTCTTAGGTTGGTCAGTTGTTAGCCTTGTGATCTTGGGAAAGTTACTAAACCTCTCTGAGCTGCACGTTTCATCAGCTTAAATAAAGTTCATGAGACTTTTTGGATGGGTTGTTGTTAAGAATTGAGATCCTGTATGTAAAGGGCCCAGTCCATAGTAAAGTGTTCAACAAGTATCTCTAAACCAAACCTAGATGGTATCACCAAGCCTTAAAGTAATGAAGCTTAACCAACAAATAAATAAATGAATAACTATTGAATGAGACCAGAATGGAGTGCAGTTGTTTTCTGAATGGACAAAGAACTGGATGGACATTCTGCTAGGCCTCTGGCCTCTGTGAGTTATGCCTGTTCCTCTCCCAGGCCGAGCTCCCTTCTGCCATGGAGACTGGAGAGGATGAGAAAGGAACCCACAGCCAGTCAGCAGTGCATTAATTGAGCACTTTATGTGTGCAGTGCTCCCCTAGCAGCACCTGAAGGGGCACCCTCAGCAGAGGGCCAGCTGGGAGGCTGGGCCAGCATGCCCTTGGGAGGTGAGCTGGACTTGCAAGGAGAGGTGCTGGGCACCCAGGACGCCCAGCTCCATGACACTTTTGGCCAAGGACTTTGGAGACGTCCGAGACAGTTCCCTCCCTTGAAAGATGAGAGCAGAGACTGGGAGCAGCACTGAGACTTGCCTGAGGACTTTGGGCATCAGTGGAGGTGGCTCACTCCAGCTACCACCTGCGCCCCACGGCCTTGGTTGAAAGCCTGGTTATTATTAAGGGTTTTATTTAAAAATCTTGTCTGCCCTTCATCTGAGTATTCCTCTTTTCTCTGAATTCCTTCTTTGGTTTTTTGTTTGTTTGGTCTTCTGGCTTTCAAGTTCAGACTTTCTCCATTTGCCAGTGTCCTTAGCAGCCAGTCCCTAGAAGGTCACTTAGAAGCTCTGCATTGCTATGCAACAAGAGCTCTCAGCCAGGTTGATCTTTCCCCAGGGGCGTTTGGCAGTGTCTGGAGACATTTCTGGCTGTCATAACAGGAGAGTTGGGGTGCAGTGCTGCTGGCACCTAGTAGCAGACACCAGGATGTTGCCCACCCTACAGGCACAAGACATCCCCACCAAAGAGCTCTGCAGCCCCAGGTGTCCACAGTGCCAGTAGGGAAAGCCTGTCCCAGGGCTCTCAGATGGCACAGTCCCTTTTGTTCTTTGCTGTGTCCTTTAAGCCTCAGTTTCTTTTCTGAGAAATGCATCCCTGGCTCAACCAGAGGGGCAGGGTAAGTGGTCCCAGCATTCTGTAAGTGGTCCCAGCATTCTGGTGGGCAGGCTTGCAAGTGCCCCCAGCTGTTTTCAGTGTAAGGTATCCAAGGAGAACAGAACAGAACTTCTCTGGGTCCTCTTGCTATGGGGGCACATGTGCTGCATCTGGGGTGGGCAGGTGGAGCATGAGTGGGAAGGAACCTGCAGGGTGGTGGTAGCAGGAGAGGGTCATCTAGCTGCTCCTTATCTGGATTTAACACATTCTTTTGCCTTTAATGCCATTCTATCTACCCACCTGCTGTGGGCCCCAGCCCCTCTCTTGCCTGAGTCTTCCAGAATGTGCGCTACCAATAGATCCTCCTCTTTTGCCTGAGTGTCTGATGCTGGGGATTGAACCCAGGGGGCTCCACTTCTGAGCTACATCCCCAGCCCTTCTTATGTTTATTTTGAGACAGGATCTCACTAAGTTGCTGAGGCTGGCCTCGAACTTGTGATCCTCCAGCCTCATCACTCAAGTCTCTGGGATTACAGGCATGTGCCGCCATGCCTGGTTCAGCTCTACTTCTTGTAGATAGTCAGGAGTCTATCCTCTCCACCTAAGTTCCTTACCCATCTGCTTGTTGTCCATGCCCAGGTCCTTATTATTGCTTTGCTGATATTTTTGCAGGTTTGGGGAAGTAGAGACACATGTTTTAAGTCCATCAGCTTAGCCCGGGAGCAACACCCTTATGCATTGGAAAACTGGCAATTTCATGAAAATCTTTGAAGCATATTTTACCTCACGAGGGGACAGAATACTGGCAACCAGAGCTCTTCCGTTTAAGTCTCTAGAGGCAGGAATTGAGGGATGGCACTATAGTAAAGGTAGAAGAGCCCTCTGACCTTGATCTCACTGAGCCTCAGTTTCCCTGTGTTGAAAATGTGTGGTCTCAGCCCTGCTGGGAAAGGGGAAGTGAGCAGTGGCTGCAGGAGAGCAGAGACGCTGGGTCATCCTCATGGTGGGAATCCTCACCGTCAACTCCATCAAGTGTATGATCAAGGTGATGTGTCACTTGGGCACGAGGACAGAACAAGCCTTGTTAGACAGGCTTAACCCAACAAGTGAGTGTGTGTACCGACTGCCTCGTTTTCTTGCCAGAGGCCTCCAGTTTGGTTGGCAGAGTGGTGACCAGCTGGCCAATTGGACGGGGCTCTTTAATGTCACCGACAACCCAGCAGTGCAGAGCAGCAGTGACTCCAGTTCCAGGTACAGACCCCGACAAATGGCCAGGGAGGGGGGAGCCCATCCTGTGGGGACCCTGGAGTCTGTGCCCCATGGTCCACCCCCAGAACTGCCTTCAGGGGAGAGGCAGCTTGATCTGCTGGCTCAAAGCAAGATCATTTGGGGATCCTCCTATCACGTTACCCCAGGGGTGAGTGGATGTGAAGGCTGAGGAGTAGGACCCACGCCCAACAACATAGGGACTCATTGGCCCTGGGGTGTCTGGGTCTCAAGCCTCCATCTGAGGGTGGGAGCCAAGGCTATGTCCCTGTAGCATGGATTGGGACATCAGCTGTCAGGTGTTAGCAGGGTGTGTGTGGCATCAGGGATGGGTGTTGGGCTAGGGTCCCTTGCTCCTCTGAAGTCCACTGCCTGGGCACAAATGGGCTGCCCTTGGCTGGGCAGAGACACTTCAGGGCAGTGCTGAACTGACGTCCGTGCTGTCACGGGGTGTTTCCTCTTGATCTCAGTGTTTGGAGCTCATGTCAGTAACCGAGGGCACTCTGCAGACTCAGGAGCGGAAGCTCAGCAAGATTGTTGAGCAAGTGCAGATGGAACATCCTCTGGCGGGCACAGTCCTTGCAGGGAGGGATTGTGGGGGATTTCCTGAGGAGGTAGGATGCTCTCTCGGCTGGGAGCTGGGTGTGGCTGGAACCTGCCAGCTAAATGCTTCCAGGGGCCGATGGAGGTGTTTGGTTCTTGTATTCCTAAGTACAGGCTTTCAGAGCCACTGCCCTGGGAAGAGGCCTGAGTTTTCCACACAGTTAATTTTGACGCCCAAACATGAAATTGACCCTGCATGCAGAAGTTGAGTTTTTCAGAGATCCCTGGTACGTATGCGTTTGTTCAATACTTAAACAAGTAAAGACGTGGTGGCAATGTCAGAAACCAGGCAGGCAGATGCCCACGGGCAGGACTGAGGTGTGGGGACGACATGGCGAGGGCTCCTGGGTCTGATGCTGGCTTCTTGGGACCACAGTTCTTCCTGTTTATGGCCAGCTGCGTGGCCCTTGGGATGTCACAGGGAGGGTGAATGATCCATGGTTGTCCTTGAAATGTTGAGCTTGCACACTGGCCCGTCTACCGTGTGTTCTGCCTGCAGAGATGGACAGTGGCCTGGGGAAGTGAGCGGCTGTCCATCTTCCAGGGGAGCCGCCTGGGAGAGGCTTGAGAGGCCTTGGCTGGAAATGCTGGAGTGAGCAGGAAGGACAGGCCCCTGGGAGGCTGTTTCTGGACAGACGTCCCCAGTCAGTGGCTGAAGTCATTGAATGGACTCTGTCCCTTACTCCTCCTGGGCCAGTATCCTCCTTCCCCTCCTCTTCAGTATCGTCTCGCCCCCCTGCTCGCTGTCTCTGTTCCTGTCATCTGTTCTTGGCCCGTCTTTCATTTTCCTTCCCTTTGTCATCTCCCCTGTTCTTTATTTTCTCTTCCTCTCTTTCTGTCTCAAGGACTCAGGTCAGTCTCCCCTTTCCTAAACACTGGGATCCCTCAGGGGCGGTGATACCACTGTCCCCTGTCAGTTGGGTTTTGGAATTCAAGTGCCCTTTATCCAAGGTCATGACCAGCTGAGTTGACTTCCTTTTGGAGAGCAGCCAGTTGACCAAGAATTCCCTTAGCCACAGAATAAATGTCATCCCAAGTTTCCCTGGGACAGTTCCAATTCCAATCTCAGTTTCTAGTTAACCCCCAAAGGACTGCAGCATGCTCAGCTCTCCTGTGAGACATGGTGGTTCGTGTCATTAAAAACTGAGCTGGTAGTGCCTCAATTCACAATAACTGAGCTATGGAACCAATCTTGGTGCCCTTCATGAGATGAATGGATAAAGAAAATGCGGTACATATACACAATGGACTATTACTCAGTATTAAAAGAGAATAAAGTTATGGCATTTGCAGGGAAATGGATGGTACTGGAGACTACCATGTTAAGTGAAATAAGCCAATCCCCCCAAATCAAAGGCCAAATGTTCTCTCTGATATGCTGATGCTAATACACATTAAAGGTTGGGGGAGGGAAGAATAGAAGTTCATTGGATTAAACAAAAGGGAATGAAGGGAAGGGAGGGAAGATGGGAATAGGAAAGAGACTAGAATGAATTGGACATAACTTTTCTATGTTCATATATGCATACATGACCAGTGTAACTCCACATCATGTTTCATCACAAGAATGAGAAGTTATACTCCATGTATGTACAGTATGACAAAATACACTCTATTGTCATGTACAACTATAAAGAACAAATTAAACAAAAGAATAGGGGGCTGGGGTTGTGGCTCTGTGGCCGAGCACTTGCCTAGCATGTGTGATGCACTGGGTTCCATCCTCAGCACCACATAAAAGTAAATAAAATAAAAGTATTGTGTTCATCTATAATTAAAAAAAAAAAAAAAGAATAAAAGGAAAAAAAAATAAACTGAGCCGGATGTGGGAGATTTTTTTTCCCCTTGGTGAGCAAGCAGCTTGTTCTTCTTTAAAATGGGTCGCTTAGCTCCTGGCAGCCAATCAGCAGGGCCGGGGGAGGACCTAAGCAGGACACAGTGTACAGCATCCTGATGAGCGGCCCTCCGCGTCTGGAGCGGGGAATGCTCTCCGTGGCATTATCCAGCTATTGAATAATTCAGTGCCTGCCATATTTTGCTATCTATAGTTGTGTAGTGTGTCGATGTGTGGGACAACCTGTTATCATTTATTATTAACAGGGTTGGAAAGGAAGTCAGGATCTACCAAATATAACCAGGGGAAAAAGAGGGGCAGAAAAGCAAAGGATTAATGTACTGTATGCTCAAGCAGGAGCCACAGAAGGAACCAGTCCAAACGACCAGTCTGGAAGACTCCAAACAGGACCACAAAGAAAATCCAGACTGTGCTCAAAAAGGCCCTGATCAGATCTTCTCACTGGATACATGCTGGGGAGGTCCAGGCGGAACTGGAAAGTGTGTGAGTTATAAAATCACATGAACATACAGCTTGATGAAGTTTAAGTCTAAGTCTATGAACTATTATCCACTAAACAGCCTCAGGAGAACTGTTTTAATGAGCAGATAGAAATGCTTTTTAATCAGCGTGTGTTTTATTTAACTGAGTACTTTGAATAAGTAGGAAGGTCTTTCTTGTCTTGTTTAAATTATGAGCTACTGGTTCCATGTCCCCAGCTCGATACTGATTTTGCTTCTTTGAGTTCTCAGCACCTTCTATGGTGTCTACTCGGTGCTCAGTGTTAATTGAATAAAAGAACAAAGTATGCAGAGAAGTTGTAAAGGGTATTGGTAAGATTGCAAACTTCAACCTCAGTGCTCCCACATCTTCCCTTAGAGATTTATTCCTTTGGATTCAATCTTGCTATCTCCTCGAATGGTCTTGGGAAAGTCACCACCAGAAAGGGGGAAGCACTTTGGATGCATAAACTCAGTCACAGGTTGGAATTATCAGAGCATTTTCTCTTGGGAAGAGCAGATGACAGGGCAGCCTGAGGGTTCTGAGCCCCAGGGTAGAAAAACGGGGAGACTGAAAGTTGTAAAGAAAGTAGAAAGGAAGTTGAGCATGGTGATGCATGCCTATAATCACAGCAACTCAGGAGGCTGAGGCAGGAGGATCATAGTGAGACCTTGTCTTTAAATTAAAATAAAAGGGCTGGGGATGTAGCTCAGTGGTAGAGTGCCACTATGCAAAAACAAAAACAAAAATATAAGCAAAAAAGGAGGCAAGAAGGCAGTGGTGGATTGTTTACTTTTGTGATGATGAGAAACCTCCCCAACACCTCCCCCCAGGCACAGCATTTCTGGGAGGAGAGGCCGAGTACTCATCCTACGGGGCCAGCTCCAAACCTTGGTCCCTGCTCCACACCCTGGTCCTGTCTTCCTGCCAATATGCGCCTCCTGCCCCACCTCCTCCTGCAAGCCCTCCGTGATGGCCCAGCCCACCTGAGCCCTTTCACTCTACTTTCTGTGAGATGTGTCTGCTTTCAGGGCAGTGTCTGTCATTACACAGGGACAACTCTCCCACAGTGTGAGGTGCCTTTCCGTGTTTGTTGAGGCATCTGCAAATCCCTAGGAGCCTCTCCCCTTGGAGACCTGGCTGCACCATCTGTGCATGTATCCCCAGGGCCCTCCTGATGCTCAGCCCCAGGTGCAGCCCACTGGCAGCCTGGTGGGCTGGCCTCTTCAGTGCCTTTTCCCTGGCTGCACACCAGCCTTGGTCCTCTGGTCTTTCCACTGGGACATGATGGCCAGGGGAGGAGAGGAGAAGCAAGCCAAGGGAGCCTTCCCACTGAGGTCTGGAGCAGAGCTGGCTGGGTGGCCTGTGGCTGGGACTCCCTTCTCCCTGGACTGCTGGGCTTCTGGGTTGGAGTGTGGAAAAAAGAGAAGCCCCTGACCCATGACAGAAGAGAGCCATCCCTGCAGAAGAGTGAGCCGAGTGAGCGAGGAGGAGGTTGCCTTCTGTGTGTCTTGCAAGTCCCATATGTCATGGGGTTTGGAATTGTCATATTTTAGAGCACCTTATTATGCTGTAGTGAATTGTTCCCTAATTGTTTCAAGACAGTGTATAATTAGATAATAAATTATGTGGCATAGTGGGCGAGCGTTCTTGGAACTTAGGTGGAAATCAAGATGCTTTGGTGAGGAAGTAAGACTCGGCTGAGCCCTTGAGGGTCAGCCCGCAGCCTGGTGTCATGGGGCTGATGGTGTGCCAGGCGCTTGCTGGGAGCCTTCTGTGCATTGTCACATTTAATCCTCACCCTCAAGCCTTTGAGATGGGCACTCCCACCATCCCCACGTTATAGGTGAGGAAACGGAGTCATGGAAAGGTGACATCACCTCTGGGGGGTGGGTGGTCGAGGCAGAGCACACGGATGTGGTGTGACTCTGAAGTCCCAGCTCCTGGGCTGCGGACAGGTCATCCATGCTGGGGTGAGTGCCGCTTGCCTTCCCTTTCCAAGGCCTCTCTTCCCTTCTGTTCTTGTCCTCAGCTCCTGGCAGTGAGACAGAACAAAAAGGCCTTGAATAAAAAAGGACGTGAGTGGGTCATTGCTCTGCGCATTTCCTCTCATCCTTGGGCTGCAGCAGTGGCTTTGGGCATGATGCTCCTGATTCTCTCGCTGCCCCTTCCTAGCTCTCCCCACCTTTCCTCCTCTGGGGCCTCCTCCCTTCCCCTCACCCACTCCTCTGGGGTTCTCTCTGGGAGACTTCGATCCCTGAACTCAGTACTTCCCTGACGGCTGTTCCCCAAAAGATGCTTCCTGCCCTCTGCCTTCAACTAGGGATTCTGCGCTTCAAAGAGAAGCCCTTGGGATGCGGTGAAATGTCAGGTGTTGCAGTGACGTGGGTGCAGGATGGCTTAGGGTGAGCCTTTCTGGTCAGTTTCCCCTTTTGTGGAAAAGGAAGGGGGAAGTGGGAAGGTGGCTGGTGGAGCTCTTGGTCTCCATCCAGCTGGCAAGAATTTGGAGAGTCAGGTTAGCAATATCTTCTAGTGTGGGTGCTGGTGAAACAAACAAAAAAAAATGGTTCCATACTTTTAACTGACTTTTAAAAAAATCACTTATTTTGGAGTCATGCAGCTATGAAATATATTATTAGTCTCCCCTGCTGTAGAGAGATGCTCTGATGAGTAGGTCGTAATGATGTTGGTTGCATGAGTTACTTTTAAGAGACTTGAAGGCTGATTCTTGCAAAACCACCATTTCTTCTCTTGGGCCTGTGCAGGTGTCCCATAGGTGATCTCTTGACATTAGGAAGCCAGAACCCCTCAGATCATGGGAACACCATTTCCTGAACATGCATCTGATGAAGAACCGTGAAGGTCGTGTGTGCACAGACCCCTGGTGACTTTACCTCTTATTGCTTTACATCACGCTGCTTCTTTATCCCAGAAAAATCTAGTGAGGAGGGTGGAGCATCATCCTCACCCCAACCCCTCCTGACCCGGGTCAGCTCCCCATGCTCCTCCCTTTAGCCGCCATGACCACATCTCCCTCCTCCCCTGCCTCACAGACCCTGTACTTCCTTCCTCTTCGCTTGTCTTCCAGAAGTTCATTCCAGTCCCTGGCAAAGGTAGGAGGCCTTTCGAAGCAGTGAGGATGAAAGGAAATGGAGAATAGGAAGAAAAGGGGCTGGAGTTGGGCAGAGAAGACCCAGCATCTACCTGGTAATCGGATGGGGGATACTTGCAAGTGTTCCCTAGAAGCTAGAAGTTCTAGAAGCATCTAGAGGCTCTATGTAGCTACGCATAGCCCTGCATCCTCCTTAATCCATGGCTACCAAGACTGTGCTGGGATTATAGGTGATGGGGAATCACGAACAGGCAGAGACGGGGCCTGCACACAGGACCCTGGTCAGAATGTGCTCCATGTGTCGAAGGTAAACCTTCCCTCCCTGATGCTCAGCTGGCTCTTGGGTCTGCCCATTAGAGCCTCGAAGAACATGTTAAGTCCATCCCTTCCTCCTCCTCCACAGCGATCACCTCCTGTCCCCTCTACTCCCCCAGGACCTAGCTCTACCCACCCCCTCTTGGTTTTCCTTACTGCGACTTCACGGTCAGCGTCATGGCAGCTGCCTTGCCTCGGCTTCTGCCCACAGAGCGTACCTGCCCCTGTCAAGACCACTGGTGGCCCCCTAGTTGTCTCACTGGTCTTGCCCTCCCTCCCTCCTGGACCCCATCAGCTCTGGATGGACTTGCCCTTCTGGCCCGGGGGCGCTCTCTGCTCGGAGCATCCTTGTCTGGGTTTTCCTCCCACCTGCCCTCCTTCTTTGTGTCTCTCTGCCAGCAAGGGCTGACCTCAGGCCTGCCCTGGGCCCCCTTGTTCATTCTGTCTGCTCGCTTTCCCCGACTTCTCAAGGAGTCCTTGTCCTTTGATTGGGAACATGTATCTCCAGCCCCATCCTCTGCTCTGGGCCACAGGTGTGCGTATCTGACTGCCTACCTGTTATCTCCCCTCGGATGTCTGAGGTCATGGTGACTTCACATGGCCCACTCCCCTTTCCATTCACACCCCAAAACTTTCCTCTTCCCTTCCGTAAATGGCTCCATCCCCTACCTGTTGTTCAAGCTAAAGTTGTTGGTTACCATAGACACCCCCCCCCTCTCTGACTTGCTGAATCTTGGCCATCAGCACATCCCACCGGTCCAGTCCCTCAGCTACCTGCTAGGCCTGTCTCTTCCCCCACCTGCTCAGCCTCTGGGAACAGCATCAGGTCCCCCACTCTGCACCGGTTCCTTTCCTCCTTCCCAAGTCCCTTGGCAGACAGCGTGACCTTTTAAATCAGATGTTGGTGTTCCCCTGTTTGAATGCTCTGAGCACCGCGATGTGGGGTGGCCCACAGGCCCAGTGTGTCCCAGGCCTCCTGCCTTCTGACCCCCCACCCCCCTTCCCACCACACTGGCTGCTGGTGGACCTGCGGCTGGCCACCTCTGGCTGTCCTCAGAGCATCTGTGTTCACTCACTGTTCCCTCTCTGGGAAGTTCTTCCCGCACATCTGCATAAGGCTCCACCCCTTGCATTATGTCCCCTGTCCAAGGAGACCTTCCTTGACTGGCCTCAGGTGTCCTCTGTCTCCTACCCTGCTATTTATTTAATTATTTATTTATTTTGATAGATTTCATGGTCGCCGTCACTCTGTTATAAATATCTGATCCTCACCCCTTGGTAGTGTCCAGGAGGGAGCGGTTTTGAATGCCTAGATCATCACTGGGTTCTGCCCTAAACGGTGCCTGGACTTAGTAGAAGTTCAGTGAACCTTCAGTGGGTGGAAGAGAAGAGCAACTCTCAGCCTGTGGAGGGGCCCTGACGAGCCATGGAGGGATGGCTTGTCATTCAGCATAAGGAGGGCTGGGGGAGAAGTGACCAGAGGAAGCCAACCAGGTGACCTCTGAGGGATGAGTAGGAAGATGCACTGAAGTTCTAGACAGAGAAACCAGCCCGGGTGAGACAGGAAGACCAAGTC